AGGGGGCGTGGCACCTCCCATAGTTGTGAATTATTTAATCAGATCTACCTTCGGAACCGTAAAAGCTTAAACAGACGGGGAGTTGATCGGGATTAACTGGGACTTAATCCGGATTAACTGCAGTTAATTCCCGAGATGATCCGGATCAACGCTGTCGTCTGTTTAAGCCAGGGTTCGGATTTGCTTCATTTTGGCCCCTCGCTCGCTCGTTAGTTTGCTCTGAGTTAGCGCAACTCACGAGGAACACGCGAGGCTGTTTGCAAATGAGCACTCGTTAGGTACGAGCGCACGCGATGAGTAGCCAGCGAGCGAGTAAGCAAACGAGGGCGGCGCAAGAGTAGAGCGGCAAGCAAACGAGGGCCTCATTAGCTCTGCCCTCGCGAGAGGGGCGTTGCGAGCGAGGCACTCATTTGCAGCAGCAGTCGAGCGAGGCGAGTAAACGAGCGAGGCAAATGAGGCAAGCAGATTAGACAGGCAAACGGGTTGTTTGGTCAGCAAAAATGTATGGGATAAAAATTGCATCAACTAAGAATTTAGAGCAAACGATTGTATGCACACATGTAGATATGTATATACATACATATATACACATATGTATGTATTTATTTATGTATATATTTTCATGCACAGAAGAATAGATTCGTGCTATTTGGACCATTTTTATCTACTAGGTAGGCACATATGTGCATACATATCTATGTAGGTATAATGTTTTTAATGTTCAATAATTTCTTATAAAATTTCAACTTATACACTTAGGTCTCTTTTTATGCGGTTCTTTTTTATGCGGATTTGAATTTATGCGGGTTTTCAAACACTTTTCGCTGTAACGATTTTGCTTTTTTGAGAGCTTTTACTTTTTTTCAATATGCAAGGGGCAATGCTTCTGATAAATAATTTGTTGTTGTATTCTTACATACAAGTAATTACTAAGTAATTTGACTAAGTAACTATGTTACATATGAAAATGAGAACATAATATTTATAAAAATCATTATTTTGTCTTTCATTTCATAAATAAGTAGGACATCAGCATTTTCAAATGAATATTCCTGGTTTAGCCCCATACATATATATGTATGTAGGATAATACAAACTACTATTTGATAATTAAGGCTGGTCCACATAGAACTTTCGCGTTGACTTTGTAGTTGGCGTTGGTTTGACAGAACGCACGTTAAAAGTATGAAGCTTGACAGAGACTACTTTGGCCACTAAATTAACATATTAACGAGAAATAAATTAATATTTCATATCAATAATAGCATGAAAAATATATTTCTTGCCTTCATTTGATTAAAAGGAAAAAAACATTTCATTTAATTTTATTTATTTGCAACAGCTGGCGACCGACGCAGCGATCTTTCTGCTTTGTGTTGGCCTTATCGTTGCCAAATTTTGGATATGTGGACGGCTGCTTTGAAATTCGACGCCAACGCAACGCCAAAGTTGTATGCGAACCGGTCTCTATTATTTGTTTACGCAAATTTTCCCATGTCTACATATCCATATATACATGCATACATATGTACACATGTCCTTGAACAACAGGCCACAAATAAATTTTTTCACCAAGGACTATATGTCATTCAGGTATACAGCATAACTGCTACAAGTAGCAAACTATTTTGGGGGTGTTAGCAAGTGCTTACTTGTTTTTTTGTTTCTGCGGCACAAACGATTATAATATCTTCGTTACTTACTTTTCTCTGTAAAGACAAAATACATGCATATGTACATACATATATAAATGCATATATACATAAATACGTACATACAAACCTATATAAATATGCATGTTATGTGTGTACACATGTATGAATATAACTCTAAAAAATAATTCATTCCATAATCTATTCTTATGTATGTAATCAATTTTATTTGTTGTTTTATATGCTGCCCTAATATAATACTTCACATATATATATGCATATGTACATGCAATTATTAACATACTTTCGTACATAATCTATTGACATACATTCCCACATTTTTATGCACAAAAATGCATGT